GCGCATGGAACCAGAGGCTGGGGGTGGTGAGAGCAGGGAGAGCTGGGAGCCCGGACGTCTGGGTTGTCTGAGGGTAGGGGTGGGATCAGGGGCTAGGCCAGAACACTTGGGTTCTCTGAAAGGTGAGTGGGGGCTATGGGGTGGGAGCATGATGAGCTGGGAGCCAGGATGCCTGGGTTCTCTGGGTGGGAACGGGCTGGTGATGAGAGGGGTGGGGCCTGGGTACTCTGGGTGGGGCAGGGGTAGAGGCAGGTGCAGTGCCCAGGGCCAGACGCAGGGATCCTGCACTCACCGGAGCACGTGGATGCGGGGTGGAGCTGGGGGGTGCCGAATGGCCACAGCGTCGTCGTACAGTGGCAGGCGGTTTTTCGGGCAGCGGGGGGGGGCGGCTGAGGCTGTGGGGGAGGGGGTGGCAGGCCCCACCTCCTCCCAGAAGCCCCACCTCCAGCCCTGCCCTGGTTTCACTTCCTCTGCCAGGAAGTTGCTCAAGGAGATGTCTGAACCCAGAGTGGGGGGCAGGGCCTGGGTCAGAGCACCTGGCACCCCACCACCCATCCCATCACTCCATCTGTCAGTCTCTCCACTCTTACATACACATCTCATTCCTTCTGTATTCATCCATGCGTCTGAGGATGGATGGGGGAATGGATTGATGAAAAGAGGGGGCTTGGGAACAGAGGAATAAATAGAGATGGATCAGGGTTGGGGGTGTGGGCATGGATGGATAGATAGAGGAATGAATAGATATTTGGACAGAAGGGAGGAGGGATGGATTGAAAGGGGTGGAGGCATAGATAGCAATACAGGAGAGTTGGGGATGGGGGTTGGATGATGGGTGGTGGTGGAGGGATTCATAGATTGTTAGGGGCTGGAAGAGACCTCGCAGATCATTGGGTCCAGCCCCCCGATGGAGGGATAAAATAACTAGATGGTGATAGAGGGTGCTTGGGGATGGGACTAGATGGGATGGACTGATGTACAGCTTGATAGATGGGGGAATAGATGCAGAGAATGAGACACAAGGGTGGGGGTGAAGGGGGCAGATAGACAGGGTGTGGGGCACCTCCCTCCATCCCTGCCCCCCATCCCTCCTGGCTGCCCCCACCCCCACAACTGCCTGTGCCTCCCATCTGTCTGTTTGTTGTGCTCCCCCTATCTGTAGCCCATGTTTCCTGCCTTGCTCACATGATGCCTGAGTGCCACTGGTTCTGGGCCTCTGGGCCTGGGATCATGGGGTGGGGTGGGGCGGGGGGGAGACACCCAGACACCTGGGTCATGTGTCCATCTGAGACATCTAGACCCCATACGTGTATGCATGCATGTATATGTAGCCATGTTCGCCAGATGCCTGGGTCCCAGACACCTGGGTTCCTCGTGTGTGCATGTGTGTCCCAGATGCCTGGGTTTGTTGCATGTCCCACGAATGCCTGGGTTCTGTGTGTGTGTGTGTGTGTGTGTGTGTGTGCGTGTGCCCCAAAACCTGGGTTCCTCGTGTGCATGTGTGTCCTGCATGCCTGGGTTCTTCGTGTGTGTGTGTGTGTGTGTGCGCACGCGCACGTCCAGCATGCCCGGGTTCTATGTGTGTGCCCACCAGATGCTTGGGTTCTGTTTTGTGTGTGTGTGTCCCCGACGCCTGGTTTCCTTGCCTACGTGTGTCCGTTCCCCCAATGCCTGGGTTCCTCGTGTGTGTGTTCCAGAGTGTGTACATCCCAGATACCTGGGTTCCTTGTGTGCGCACACGTATGTGTGTCCCTTGGATATGCCTGGGTTCCTTAGATGCGTGCATGTGTCCTGGAAGCCTGGGTTCCTTGTGTGTGTGTGTCCTGGATGCCTGGGTTTTGCGTGTGTGTGCATGTCCCGGATACGCCTGGGTTCCTTGCATGCGTATCCCAGATGCCTGGGTTCCTCATGCATGCCCACAAATGCCTGGGTTCTTTGTGTGTGTCTTGGATGCCTAGGTTCCTCATGTGTGCGTCTCCCGGATACATGGGTTTCTCAGGTGTGTGAGTGCATGTCCCGGATGCCTGGGTTCCTCAAGCATGTGTGTGTCCATCCCCCAGAAGCCTGGGTTCCTTATGCACACACGTGTGTCCCAGATGCCCGGGTTCCGTGTGTGTGTGTGTCTCCCCCTCCAGATGCCTGGGTTCCTCATGTGTGCATCTCCCGGATGCCCAGGTTCCTCGTGTGTGTGTGTGTGTGCGCGCGCATCCTGAATGCCTGGGTTCGTGTGTGTGCGCATCCTGCATGCCTGGATTCCTTGTGTGTGTGTGTGCGTGCATCCTGGATGCCTGGATTCATGTGTGTGTGCACGTCCTGGATGCCTGGGTTGCTCGTGTGTGTCTGCACATCCTGGATGCCTGGGTTCCTCGTGTGTGTGCGCGCGCGCGCGCGCATTCTGGATGCTTGGATTCCTCGTGTGTGTGCGCGTGCATCCTGGATGCCTCTGTTGGTCGTGTGTGTGTGCACGTCCTGGATGCCTGGGTTCCTCATGTGTGTGCACGCGCATCCTGGATGCCTGGGTTCCTCGTATGTTCTTCGTGTGTGTGTGTGCGCGCGCGCGCGCACACACGAGGAACCCAGGCTTCCAGGATGCGCGTGCACACACATGAGGAACCCAGGCATCCAGGGTGCACACGCACACACAAGCAACCCTGCATCCAGGATGCGCGTGCACACACATGAGGAACCCAGGCATCCAGGGTGCACACGCACACACAAGCAACCCTGCATCCAGGATGCGCGTGCACACACATGAGGAACCCAGGCATCCAGGATGCGCGCGCGCGCGCATCCTGGAAGCCTGGGTGCCTCGTGTGTGTGCGTGCGCGCATCCTGGATGCAGGGTTGCTTGTGTGTGCGTGTGCACCCTGGATGCCTGGGTTCCTCGTGTGTGTGTGGGCGCGCGCGT